CCAGCGCCCACATGGGATCCCGGGTGTGCAAGGCGAGGCCTTAACCACTTGCGCCACCGCACCAGGCCCTGTATTTTCTTATTTAAGAAAAAGGCAAAACAAAACAGAAAAACAAACTACTAGAAGTTATACTTTACTTTAGATCCTGTTTGTGGATATAGCCAATGAAAAGATTCAATTTCTTTCCTTTAAGTCATTAGAAAACTTTTTTTTTTAAAAAAAGTTATTTATTTTTATTGGAAAGTCAGATTTACAGAGAGAAGGGGAGAGAAAGATCTTCCGTCTGCTGGTTCACTTCCCAAGTGGCAGCAACAGCTAGAGCTGAGCCGATCCAAAACCAGGAGTCAGGGCTTCTTCTGGGTCTCCCAGGTGGATACAAGGTCCCAAGGCCTTAGAGTGTCCTCTACTGCTTTTCTGGGCCACAGCAGGGAGCTGGATGGGAAGTGAAACAGTTGGGATATAATTTGGTGCCAGTATGGAATCCCAACACATACAAGGTCAGGACTTTAGTGATTAGGCTCCTGTGCTGAGCTGTTTTGTTTGTTTGTTTTTTATTTGAAAGGCAGATTTTACAGAGAGAGCAAAAGAGACAGGGAGAAAGAGAGATCTTATCCTTTGCTTCACTCCCTAAATAGCCTCAACAGCTGGAGCTGGGCCAGTCTGGAACTAGGAGCCTGGAGCTTCTTCCAGGTCTCCTACGCGGGTGCAGGGTCCCAAGGACTTGGGCCTTCTTTCACTGCTTTCCAAAGCACATTAGTTTACAGGGAGCTGGATTGGAAGTGAAGCAACCAGGACTTCAGCTGGTATCCATGTGGGATGCTGGTACTTCGGGTGGAGATTTAACTTACTGTGCCACGATACTATCCCCTAGAAAAGTATTAATGCAGTGTGATAGGTGGGCTTCCTATGATCTGCTGGAATAGGGGAGATGAGTTCAAACAATGACTATGGACCGAATATAGATGACTGCCTGCTTTTGTAAATAAAGCTTTATTAGAGCACAGACGTACTCAGTTATGTTTTGTCTATGGATACGTTTCTGCTACAATGACAGAGTTAAGTAGTATAATAGAATTATATGGCCCATAAACCCCAATTTATTATCATTGTCTCTATTCAGAAAAAATAGCTAACCCTTAGTTTAGTTTTCTTTCTTTCTTTCTTTCTTTCTTTCTTTCTTTCTTTCTTTCTTTCTTTCTTTCTTTCTTTCTTTCTTTCTTTCTTTCTTTCTTTCTTTCTTTCTTTCTTTCGCTTTATTTATGTTTATTGGAAAGGCGCATATACACAGAGGAAGATCTTCCATCTGATGGTTCACTCCCCAAGCAGCCGCAATGGCCAGAGCTGAGCCAATCTGAAGTCAGGAACCTCTTTCCAGGTCTCCCATAAGGGTGCAGGGTCCCAAAGCCTTGGGCCATCTTCAACTGCTTTCCCAGGCTGCAAACAGGGAGCTGGATGGGAACTGGGGCTGCTGGAACTAGAACAGGCGCCCATATGGGTTCCTAGCGCGTTCAAGGTGAGGACTTTAGCCACTATGCTAGTGCGCTGGGCTCTAGTTTAGTTTTCTTTCAAGGCATTTCTTATACAGCGTTTGAATTGTTTGTTTCTCAAGCTTTTTTTTTTTTTCTTTGAAAGGCAGTTTTACAGAGAGAAGAAGAAATAGAAAATGTCTTCCATCTATTGGGTCACTTCTCAAATGGCTTCAATGGCCAGAACTGAGATGTTCTGAAGCTGGGAAGCAGGAGCTTCTTCCCTATCTCCTACTTGGGTCCTGTGGCCCAAGTTCTTGGATAATGCAAAGTTGCTTTCCCAGGACCTAAGCAGAGCACTGGGTCAGAAGTGTAGCAGCCATGACATGAACTGGAGCCAATATGGAATGCCAGTGCCACAGTAAAGGGGATTGGCCTGTTGAACCATAGCACCACCAATTTTAAAAACAAACACACACACAACAAATGAATTTATTAATTTATTTTGAAACTCGGAGTTACAGATAGAGGGAGAGAGCAGGTATCTTCTATCTGCTAGTTCGTTCCCCAGATGGATAGTGCTGAGTCAGGCAGGAGCCAGAATCCAGGAGTTCTGTCTGGGTCTCTAACATGGATTACAAGGATCCAAGCACTTGGGCCATCTTCAACTGCTCACCCCAGGCCAGTAGCAGGGATCTGGGTCAGGAGGAGAGCAACCGGGATGTGCACTGTTACCCATATGTAAGGCTCGTATTACCAGTGGCCACTTTACTTGCTATATCAAAGTACGGGCCTCAATCTCTTGTATTTTAGCTCATAAGAACAAAGATAAGATCTGATTTCTATTTTTATGCCAGTTGTAGGTCTGACGTATATAAAGTATTTAGTAAACATTGCTTAAATGAGCAAATCATATGCAGACCTGAAAGCTCTGACATGCAATTGCTTATGCTTCGAGTTGGTAGAAGAGTATTGTTGGTTAGACTATTATCACCATCTTTGTGTTTTTTTTTTTTCTGTGAAAAAGTTAATTATTACTCATTGCACTTTTTGGATTAAGGTGAATAATCATTTTAGACATGAGTTTCATGAATAAAGCGATTGTGCCACAAACTCTTGATAAGAAAGAAACTATGCTTAATCTTTTGGTATTCTACTCTCTCTCTCAGTGCCCACTCCCCCTCCATCTTCAATGCGGTGTAAAAAGACAATGGTAGAATATAAGATTACATGGTGCATTAGACTACTTTTTGTTTTAAGATTTATTTAATTTTCTTGGAAAGGAAGATTAATAGAGAAGAGAGATATAGAGAAAAATCTTTCATCTGCTGGTTCACTCCCCGAATGTCCACAACTGCTGTGGCTGAGCCAGTCCACAGGCACGAACCAGGAACTTCGTCTGAGTCTCCCATGTGGGTCCCGTGGCTTTGTGACATCCTCCATTGCTTTCCCAGATGATAAATATGGAACTGGATGGGAAATGGAGCTATTGGAACACAAACCGACACCAATATGGAATGCTGACACTTGCAGGTGGAAGATTAATCAGTTGAGCCATTGTACTGGCCCCTAGGAAAAAAGTCTCCCCCCACCCCACCCCCCAGCATTTAGTTTGGAGATTACAGTTAAGATTTCGGCAGGTCAGTAGTCTGGCATCTGTGGAGGTTGCTCCTGTTCAGTGTGAAGCACAACCACGTGGGGATCTAGGAAGCAGAGACAGCACTAACTGAACTAGATCTCAAATAATGATCATCCCTCGAGTGATAACCAAGTTGAGCACATGCCCCCAAAATAAACATCTCCTGTGTGCCCCCATCTCTTTTTATTTTATTGAAAAATTTTTTTTCATGCTACAGTTCCTTAGGCTCAAAAATTTCTTCTTCTACCCTTCCCATCCCTGTATCTATCCCTGTATCTATCCCTGTATCTATGTTACTCTTCCTTTCAAAGAAAGAAGCAAACTTTTTTTTTCTTTAATTTAAACCAAAGACTCTTTATCCTGTCCTTGCCTTCTCTTCTTTGATAGATTCTTCTATTACCTGGGAAGTCAAGATATAGTCTCTGTTCTTTGGGGCATCTGAAGACTCTTTTTCCTTGAAAATAATTATCAATACACAGATCAAAAGAAAATTAATTTTTTTATCATCTAGGAATTGGAAGGAATGTGTTTCAAAAAGTTTGTGGAAATGGAATTAAAATGTAAGTTTGCTATTATTCAAAAATAATGCTTTTTCAAAAATAATTTTTAAAAAGATATTTACTTGAAAGGCATAGTGACAGATATGGAGAAAGAGGGAAAGAGAGAGAATGAAAGGATGAGACTTAATCTTCCATCTGCTGGTTCATTCCTCAAATGGCCACAGCCAGGACTGGGCCAGACTGAAGCAACGAGACAGGAACTTATATGAATCTCCCATGTGGGTATAGGGGCAAAAGCATTTGACCTGTTTTCTGCTGATTTTTTTCTACCTGTATTGGCAGGGAGCTGATTCTAAAACAGAGTGATGAACCAGTACCTGTATTCTATCTTGATGTTGCAGGCAGTGGCTCAACCTGCTGTATTACAATGTGACCCCTCCAAAATTTGAAGAATTTTCATGTCTTGAATTTAGGTCATTGATCCATCTTGAATTGAGTTTACTCTATGGCGAAAGACATGGTTCTATTTTTTTTTTAAAGATTGATTTATTTTTATTGGAAAGTCAGAGATACAGAGAGGAGGAGAGACAGAGGAAGATCTTCTGTCCGCCGATTCGCTCCCAAGTGACTGCAATGGCCAGAGCTGAGCTGATCTGAAGCCAGGAGCCAGGAGCCTCTTCCGCGTCTCCCACATGGATGTAGGGTCCCAAGGCCTTGGGCTGTCCTCAGCTACCTTCCTAGGCCACAAGCAGGGAGCTGGAAGGGAAGCAGAGCAGCTGGGGTTAGAACTGGCACCATATGGGATCCCAGTGTGTGCAAGGCGAGCACTTAAGCTGCTAGGCTATTGCGCCGGGTCCAGAATTTTTTTTGAAATATTTATTTATTTTTATTGGATAGGCAGATTTATAGAGAAGGAGATACAGAGAGAAAGCTCTTTTGTCCACTGGTTCACTCCCCAAGTGAGTGCAATGGCCAGAGCTTAACTTATCCAAAGCTAGGAGCCAGGAAACTTTCTGGGTCTCTCATGAAGATGTAGGATCTCAAGGACTTGGACTGTCCTCCTCTCCTTTCCCAGGCCACAAACAGGGAGCTGGATGGGAAGTGGAGCAGCTGGGTCATGAACCAGCACCCGTATGGGATTCCGGTGCTTGAAGGGAAAGGATTAACAAATTGAGGCAGCGCACCAGACCCATGAACAATTAGGGTGTTCAAGCATTGTCCATGAGTGACAGAGTTCAGCACATTCTCTGTACAGTTAAAGGCTGGATGTGCAAGTAGCTGGTTAAGTGCCTGTGTAAGGAGAGAGATTCTAGAAATTAAGGATGCCAACACAGGTTGGTAATAAAGGCAAGGTGGCAGCTCTGAGTTATGTTTTCACTTGCTTTTCCTGTACAGAGTTTTGCCGGATTGACAAGCCACTGTGCGACAGTGAAGATGAGAAGCTCAGCTTTGAGGCAGTGCGAAACATTCACAAGTTGATGGATGATGATGCCAATGGTGATGTGGATGTGGAAGAAAGTGATGAGGTGAGCTTTTTCCTTCTAGAGTTCTTGTTTGTTTCAGTGTGAAACAGCACCCGAAAGTTTCCTAAGTACTTTCAGAGGGATGCTCTCTTTCTAGCTTGTTCACCGGGAACTCATCCTAGCTAGGGGACCTGGTTTTCAGCAGAGCAGCCTTTTAAAAGCCAGCCTGTTAGAGTCCAGACTTTGAATATGCTGGATGGACTCTCACGTACTGCTGGCTGGTGGGACAATTCTGACTGCACTGTGTTGTTTGGGAGAGAGAGGGATCCCTGAGGTTGGTGTGTTTGCTTCTCTCCATCCTAAATACAGTCCTGCTGTCCGTGGAGGATGACAGTGTATACTCAGCCCGATGATGTCACATAAAAGGGAAGGCAAAACAGAGCCTGCCTTCTGGGAATGTATACTATATTTGAGAGAAAGAAAAAAGTCCTGAAATAACCCTTCCAAATGACAAGCTTCATTTGTTAAGAGCAAGTTGAGTGGTCCAGATAGTAAGAGCTAGAGGAACCTCTGTTAGGGTTGGGGAATGTCCAGCCTATGTGCCATATAAGCTCACAAATTATTTGATCTGACCCTTCCAAAGCAAATATAGGCAAGACTTAAAGTTCAATAAATCCTGAGTCTGGAGTGGAGGCTTAGTGAGTAAATCTTCTCCTACATGCACTGGGATCCCAATATGGGCCCTGGTCATGCCTCAGCTGGTCTACTTCCCATTCAGCTCTCTACGTGTAACCTGAGAGCGCAGTAGAGGATGGCCCAAAGCCTTGGGACTCTGAATCCATGTGGGAACCTGGAGGAAGTTCCTGCGTCCAGACTTCAGATCGGCTTAGCTCCAGCCATTGCAGCTACTTGGGGAGTGAATCAATGGACAGAAGATCATTCTCTGTATTTCCTCTCTGTGTATCTGCCTTCCCAATAAAAATAAATAAATCTTTTTTCAAAAAGTCCAGTAAATCTATGGCAGGCTTTTTAAAAAATTTATTTTTATTTCAAAGACATATATACATATATACATATATATATATGTATATATATATATGTATATATGTATATATATATATATATATACACAGAGAGAGAGATAGAAAGAGAAAGAGAGGAGGAGAGACAGACAGAAAGATCTATTATCTAATGATTCACTCCCCAAGTGACTGCAATGACTGGAGCTGCGTTGATCCGAAGCCAGGAGCCAGGAGCTCATCCAGGTCTCCCACACAAGTGCAGAGTACCAAGGCTTTGGGCCATCCTCAACTGCTTTCCCAGGCCACAAGCAGGGAACTGAATGGGAAGCGGGGCTGCTGGGGTTAGAACCAGCGCCAGAATGGGATCCTGGCGTGTTCAAGGTGAGGACTTTAGCTGCTAGACCACCGCTCCAAGCCTGGCAGGGTGTTTTTAAGTTGATAATTTTGTATGGCCACGAATGATGTTGTGTATATACAGATTGTCCTTGGTAGAAGTGGCAATGTCCTGTTATTTTTTAAATCTATTTTTAAAAGGTTTATTTATTTTTTATTGCAAATAAAAGAAAGGAGGAGAGACAGTGAGGAAGACCTTCTGTCCATTGATTCACTCTCCAAGAGGCTGCAATGGCTGGAGCTGTGCCAATCTGAAGCCAGGAACCTTGAGCCTTTTCTGGGTCTCCCACACGGGTACAGGGTCCCAAAGCTTTGGGCCATCCCAGGCCACAAGCAGGGAGTGGCTGGGAAGTGGGGCCGCCAGGATTAGAACCGGCACCCACATGGGTGAGGACTTCAGCCAGGCCCTTATTTTATCTTTTGATTTTACTGCATTGCTTTCTCAACAGAGTGAAGAGTAAAATGTTATCAGGTGTGGAAAAAAGGATGTAAAGTTTGTTGATTTCAAGCTCAACGTGAGCTATCAATCTGGTGAAGCTATGAAGTTATACCAATCTGTAGTAGTGCCATAGTGTATAAAGGAGGAAATCAGCCTAGTCTATTTTCCCTATTAGTTTAACTGCTTTTGATTTACTGTTTAAAAAAATTCTTTTATTTTGGTAATCTTTACATAGTTGATTAGGGCACAAAGGGTTAAGGGGTACAGGAAAGTGGGTAAGACCATTGTTTCCACATTAATATTATTTTTTTTCTGTATGTGGGGTAAGGGAAGAGAAGTCCCATCCAGCCTCCCTCCCATCCCAGGTCCCTGATGTGGGGCATGCTCTGAGGGTCCTGCTCATGCAGTTTTGATAGTTTAACAGTTCTGAATTGCTGCTAATCTCGCCATTCCAAGAACGATGAAATAGCTGCAGAATCCACTGGCTGACATAATCTCTTTATTGTTGGGGTTCTGAGATCAGCAGTCAGTTGGATGGATCTTCAAAGAAACTTCATCTGAAGCAATTCCAGACCTGATTCTTGTGTGTGCTTGCCAGTACAGGGTCTGGCACAGTCTGTCGCCCCAATCAACCTATGCATATGCTGGTCATTGCAATTACTGGGTCAGCTCTCTTTCCAGCCTTGTCTTCCACTGGAGCCATTGGGTGCTGCAGTCCAGCCTGATCCTGCCGACTTCATACTCAGCCCTCCCACAAACCAGTGGGAGCTACAGCCGAGTTGGGGTGACTTTCCATAAACCCCGCCAGGCTTGCCCCTACCTGGCTCCCATGTTTGCCAGTATGTACCATAGACTTACTTGTTCAGTCTGTCCCACATCCCACTTAGCTCTTGTATATGTCAATGGGCACTGAAGCCTAGTTCAACCCAATGAACCCTACTATTCAGGCCCACACACATACTGGCGGGTGCTGTTCTGTCTAGCCATCCCTGCCCCAGTCCTGGTTTTCATGCTCTCCAGTGGGAGTGGTAACCCAAGAGGGATGTGTCCACTATTTCCCTAGTAGGCCACTCCCACTCCTGGATCATGGACTCCTGGAACATGGAGCATGGACAGGTGGTTCTGCAGTCTAGCATGACAGAATTAGCCCCCAGTGCCAGGCTCTGCCAGCTGATGTCGCGGCTAAGGCCAGCCAACCCTCACCCACTCTAATTTTTGCTTGCACCAGTAGGAACAGTTAGCCCAGCCTGGCTTTTCCCTGATCTAGCTCATATGAGGCCCACAGGTGTTGTAGCCCTACCTGGTCTGGTCTGCCCCCATCCCAGTTCACACTCTCCAGTGGGAATGGCTGTCCAGCAGGAGAGCCTTCCACATTCCCCCCACTGGCTTTGCCCCCTCCCTCCCTGGGTCTTAGATGTACTGGTTTGGTGCTGTGGCTCAGTCTGGCACGGTCTGCCTTTCCTTGACATTTGCCAGTGGGTGTTGTAGCCTGGGCTGGCCTGGACCACCCCCAATTCCAGTTGACACTGCTGAGGATTACACCCTAGCCCAGCCCAGCAGGTATCCAATCCCAGCTGTAATGTGCACTGGTATGTGTTGCGACCAAACTTGTCTCGACCTACACTCTGTTCTGGTGCTCGGATTCGCCAGCGGGTGATGTGAACTGCCCCCAACCTATGCCAACTGTATGCCAGTGGGTATCTTTCTCTGACTTGGTCTGGGTTGCTCACTATTGTGGTTCTTGCGCTCATCTGCAGGGACTGTGACCTGCCAGAGGTCATCAGAATCTCTCACTATGGCAGATCTTGCATATGCTGGTGGGTCCATTGGTCAGCCCTACCTAGTCCACCTCCTGTCCTGGCAGTAACAGTGGCCTTTCCTGACTGGCCTTCAACCCATTCTTGTTCTTACTATTGAATGTGTCAGCCCAGGTAAGGCTCGTCCATACCCAGACACTGCTCACACATGGCTCAGTAGGGGCAGAGACCTAGCCTAGTCATTCCTACTTCTACCCAGGTTCTCTAGAGCACCAGATGGTACTGGAGTCTAGCCTGTCTTGGTGCGTCCAGTTTCAGTCCACACTTGTGCCAAGGGAGACTGTGGCCTTGTCCAGACCAGAACGCAGCCCCCACTCCAGCCCCCACTCCAGCCCCCACACTCACCAGTGGAAACCCAAACTAGTTAGGGTGTCTTCTTAGCTCCCCAGTCGGGCCTGTTCCCAGCCATAGATCGTGCACATGCCAGTGGGTACTCTGACCCAGCGTGGCATAGCCCCTCACCTATCTCATCCTTTGCCTTCAATGCTGTGGCCTAGTATCCCTGGATCATGCAGACCAGGCAGTGTAAGAGCCTAGATGGGCATGACCTATGCTCCATTCTGATTTCTGTTCTTCAGTGTGAGTTTAAGTTTGCTCAGCCCTGCCCGGTCTGCCCCCTTCCAGTTGCAGTTTGGCTCACCCCACATCCTGTTTTAGGATGCACATTCGGGTGCTGCTGCCTTGACCTGCCCTGACTGTTGTTGGTTCCTTTATCTGTAAGTGATGGCAGGTTCCATAGTCACACCTAGCTCAGCCCATCACCACCTCAATCAGTGGGAATTCTCTTTCTACTTGTTGGGCCCACACTTCCCCCAAAGAATTTACCCCCAGATCTGGTTCTCTTGTGTATTGGTTAGTTTCTTGACCCTGCCAAGTGTGACCCATCCCCTGTTCCGTCACTGTCAGGTACTGGTACCTAGCCCTGCCAGGTAAGACCCCATTCATAGCTTTCATGTGGGCTGGTATATGGCAGTCAGTGATGTTCTACACTAATAGCCCATCTCAGGATTCCCATGTGGGTTGGTGAATCAGTCTGGCCCAAATAGAACTTATGGACTCTCCCCTCCAAACCCTCAGATCTCAGTCCGCATGCTTGCAACCAAGTTCCATGACCCCATCTCTAGGAATTACACAGAATTTATCCCTCACCTACACTCACACTAGTCTTATCCCTGGATGTGCCTAGGCAGCAATTACATATCCTAAAAACCCTAGAGCTCGCCACCAGGTAGCCATTAGGCAGAGCCTGGCTCCCAAGGGTGCCCACATCCTAGGACTCTCTCACCGTGTGGCGGCAGTGTCCTTGGGCCGAGTCCGGAGCATTGGGTTTGACCTTGCTCGCATACTCTCTGCAAGCGGGTTGCCGCCCCTGTGGAGCGCTGCTGTCATCCA